AAACTCGGTGACTGGATGACAAATGAGCGCTACTGCCACACACAGACCTCAAGGGGTGAAGGAGACAGCATCAAACACCAAACATAATGCAGAGTACATTTTGAACACCAAATGCATACTAAAGTGATTTATTCTTCTCCTCCCATGGAAAAAGCCTCGCTCATACCATCCCTACTCATATGGGCAAGTGGGATATGCAGTCATCAAAGTTGCACTGGAAGTGAAAGTGAGCTAAGCGAACCATGAAAGAGTAAACAGGGGATTTGCATATATCTTGAGGGTTATAGGACCATGAGAGCACAAGGACAGCCCCTTCTCCAAATCCAGACCAGCATCACAATTCAGCAAGAAAAGCAAGGACCAGCATCTCCTCCTTGCCTACAAGGACAGAGGAGAGAAGGACCAAACAGCCTTTCCTCAGAATAGAAGTAGGTGGAGGCTTCCTCCACAGCAGCGGGCTGGAATTCCAGAGACCCATTCACATGGGAGATAAGCTATATAAAGATTGTTCTGTGGCCACCACAGAGTCCATCAGGGTAGAGAAAGCTCTTAATTATAGCCAAGGCTCTGGGTTAAGTCTGTCCACAGAACAGCCTCAACCCCACACACTGTAGGAAGCTGAAACTGAGACTGAATCTCCTGAGAACCCCACTCAGGCTACAGAGAAGAGTGAGTTGGTACCGTGACATGGAGGCACTTCTCTGGATGTGTCTAAAGTAAAGGGGACAGTAAGACCCCTCACCCTGGGCAGCTCCAAATGCCTGCTCACCTTTTAAGCTGCCTTTGTTCCATTCAGTAGCTATGCTGGCTGAAAATGAGGGAATACAGGCTTTGCAAGCAACCAGACCCCATTCTGCTTTACCGACATCAGCATCACTTCCATTCACAGTCTTAGTCAATATGAAGTCTGTGCTCAGAATGGCTCCCATTCAGTTCAGGCTGCAATGTCACTCACAGACATCGCCCATGTGCAGAAACTATTTCTGGTGTTTGGATTCTGTGATGTGCCTTGATTTGATCTTCCCAGATGTTTCCACTATGTTATTGTTAGCCTTTTTATTTTGTTTTGCTTTGTTTATACTTGAAGTGATTGTAAGGGGATTTTGTTTCGATTGTCACCAGAACAGACCAGTCCCTCCTCATCTCCCAGCTGTGTTTACAAAAACTGCCTTCTCCCTGGGTGGCTAAGCATTAACTTAAATCTCACTTCTTTTTAGGCATTTGGAGAATCCTGACTACGGAGGGCCTATGTGATTTTCTTGAGGGTCTCCTAGTGAGCATTTGTCCTTCTGGATCTAGTTGCATCTGTCTCTCCTTCTCCTGAGACCTCCCCCAACTCGCCATGGCTTTTCTTTGGAATAAAACTCCCTCCCTCAAAGGAGAAGGAATAGTAACTCTACTGCCAAATATTAAACAAGATCATTTTATTTAAGACTCAAATATTCAGCCTATTTCTTTTGCAGGGCTAGACAATGAACTCTAAGCAGTCACAAGGCCTGCCCTATGTGAACTAGACTGATTGCCAGGCTTCCTAGGAAATGGGCTCTTCCTATCTTAAGTTTGCAGGGCACAGAACTTTCTAGAGCAATGACAGGCTTGTGCTGGCATCTTCTCCAACCACTCCACCCTGTACCCTGTTCGTAGTCCCAGGAGGCACAGTGGCTTCACCTGGAGTCTTGGGTCCCAGCCCACAGGGCCAGGCCAAGGGAAGCAGCAGCCAGGGTAGATAAGAGTAAGGACTCCTTTTCAGTTCTTCCAGGAAATAGCTGAGTGCTTTCTGTACAAAGCTCTTCCTCGGCCTCATCAATTCACCCATTCATTCACACACTCCTGCATCCTTCAAACATAACTCTCATGAGAATGCCTTCAGGCAAACCTGCTTTCTGCTTCTCACGGCAGGCAGCCAGGCAGCATCACCCCGTAGACAGCCTCTGACTGGAAACAGAGGAATGAGATATGAACTCATTCTGTGAAGCCACCTGACCTTTGACCTTAAAAAAGCAAACAAACACATACAAGTAATGTTCTCTGGATTGAGCAGGCTTATGTATATATTTAAACACACACACACACACACACATAGCACTAACTAAAAAGAAGCTATGAATTTGATAGAGAGTAGTAGGGTTCACTGGCAGAGGTTGGAGGGAGGGAGGGGGAGAGGGAAATGATGTAATTATAACATCAAAAATATTTCAAATAACTTTTAAAAGAAACACAGATCAAGCATCAGCATATCAGCATGGGTTGTGAAGTTTAGACATGGGCTGGTGTTTTGCCAGGCACTGGGCCTCAAGATAGACTAGGGCCTCATCCTGCAACCTCTGCATGAAATGTAGAGATGTTCTGCCTAACCCCAGGCAGAAGCTATAAGAACAGGGCCAATATCTGCAGGATGAATCCTAAGATCAGCATCTTGGGCAATGGACAGACATAATGACCACGTAAATTCTGAAGCACACAACAGAACAGGGGTTCTCTAGACCAGGTGGATAGAAGAAATAACATGATCTATTTCTAGTGGGGAAGCATGACCAATAGATATTTCCTCTAAGTCTTGTTCAAAGATTTGTGTAAAGCACCCTGGGAACAACTTCCAGGATCTGAAGAAGACTTTAATCGGGGTCAGCTTCACTAACTGTGCCATTGAATTACCATAATTTCATCATTGTAAGTAAGTATCAGGGCTGCAGAGGCAGCCTGATGGCTAAGAGATTTTGCTGTAAGGACCAGAGTGATAATCCCAGCACCCAAATATCAAATGTCTATAAATCTTAGCTTTGCCACAGACAGAGGAGCACCACGGGGGTCTTTTGGCTTTCAGCCTAACCCAGGAAACACTGCTTCAAAGAAACAGGCAGAGAGTGATAAAAGTCAGCCAATGCTCTCCTTTGGCTTCTGCACATGCACGGTGGGTACATCTGCACACACATGCACATATACAGACAAACATGGATGAGCAAGCCAACAAATATGCCTTTTAAAATTGTCATAAAAACTGGACTGGATACAGTCCGGTTAGGTAACAGGAACACCTGCTTTAAAAATAAAACAATCTAAGTCATATATCTCAATTTATAGCCTGACTTTGGAATGTACAGTGATGGGGGGGTGAATGCTGATGTCTGCAAATTATTTTTTAAAATAATATGGTGTTATTCTTCTTCAAGAATGTTATACATGCATTCTCAGGAATGACTCCACCGACACATGAGGCTCCAGCTTGGCTTCCTGTATGTCTGCATAGCTCACATGTCTTTACTGACCTGGAGACAAGAATCCACCATCACAGGGTCGACTGCCCCAGAAATCAGCACAAGGCCTCACAGATATAGAGCCTCAATGAGGGCCCATTTCCTTTAAACCCTGGCTTAACAAACAACACAGATAGCCATACTATGGTAAGAACATCTAGAGCCACACCAGTTTCTGGAATAAGCTATGCTTTTTCACACTGGGATTCACGTCATGGCCCTTCTTAGATCTGTTCCCTCTAAGCCTATGTGTTCTCAACCCTTTGGGGTTTTGCAGGCCCTGTTCGCAGAGGTGGCCTAATGCCATAAGAAAACACAGATGCTTTAATTACTATTTGTTACAGTGGCAAAATTAACAGCTATGAAGTAACAACAAAAGTAATTTTATGGTTGAGGGGTCACCACAACATGAGGAACTGTATTAAAGGGTCACAGCATCAGGAAGGGGGAGAGCCACTCCTCTAAGCCATCCCAATCTGTTCCACTATTGATCCCATCTACTGCCCCAAGTCCCAAAGGCTGCTTGGTCTCCCGCCATAGGAACCATTGGGATTCCAAGCCAGAGACTGCTCATTCCTCTGCAGTAATTAGCAAGAGAGTCAGACTCTGGTGCCATCACTTCTTCCTCTAACCTGCCTCGAAACACAGCCTTTGCTGGGCCTGGAGGAGAATTTCACACAGCATCTGTTGCTATCCAAGAAGGACAAATATCAGCACAAGGAAGAGGTGAGAGGTGACGACTACAGACAGGCTAGGGAAAAAGAAAAGTCTCTTTTCACTTTCCATTCTGGTGAGGGAGGTCCTCACAATAATCCCTCTAAAATCCTGGAGGTTAGACTTCAAGGACAGCCGTGAGGCTATCCAGTGCGTCTGCTGTCGTCCAGTGCCCAGGCTTTTCCCCAGTTATCCACTACACTCAAGAGATTCCAGGCAAACAAGTTAGAGAGCTGGGTCACCTTAGATGTCAGTAGGTCACCAAATCCTGGGGCATACAGATGATTCGGTTCTTCCAGGCAGAACGCACCGAGTCATTCTGCTGCATATTTCTATCCTGATCACTCAGTGGAACTCTCTGGGAGAACCTGCTATGGACTAATAGAAGGTCTGCCTCTAATTATTTTTTAACTTTTGAAATTTTATTCTTTTAATTAAAAAACTAAAAAACAAAACAAAACAAAAAACCTCTTTACTGAAAGGAGCTCACAAATTTAAAGTATCACACAGCCAGGTTAAGATAGCCACTCAAACAAGCACTTGTCCAGTCCTGAACTGTATCCATCTCAACAAACTTCTATACAGTTAAAACAGATAGGTTCTACCTCAAAGTTCAGAAACTCTAGGAGGTCAGCAGACCAGAGATGAAGAGGAGACAGGTCACTTTTAACCTTCAAGTCCTTCCCATTTCTACTCAAGGAGGGAGAAGCCAAATGGGTGTCTGGATGACAGCCTCTTCTGGGTATGGGCTATTACTCCTTGCTTTGCTAGCCCCAGGGAATGGTGGCTTCACTTGCCCTGCCTCTGCTTCATGCCCACCTGTGACTCCTCTGAGTTTGGCACACTGCCGCTCGTCTCTGCTGCCTGTTCAGGCAACAGGTAGGGATGTTCTTGGGTGCAGAGAGAGCTTCACAGGGAAGCAGGGCAACTCACTTTCACAAAGCCGACGCCTCAGCTTGCCACGGATCTTGTCAATGGCATTGAAGTCAGAAACATGGAAGACATGCGCAGACTTGGGTTCTGAAGCGATCTCATCCAGCTCCTCCTTTAACGCTGCACCCACACCAACAGCGAAAATGCGGATGCCGGCTGCATGGGCAGCTGCTGCAGCATCCAACACCAAGTCCTGGCTACGGCCATCGGTCAGCAGGATAGCCACCTGCTTGAAGGCACGATTCCCAGGCCTGCCGCCTGCCTGGGCAGAGAAGCTACGGCTGGTGATATAACGCAGTGCGTCGCCAGTGTTCGTGTTACCACCATGGTAGGTGATGCGCCTCGCTGCAGCCTTCACCTCCTCACGGGAGCTGAAGTGGCCCAGTTCAAAGGCTGTAGTGGGCCGGTCACTGTAGCGCACAACCCCCACACGGGTGTGGCCAGGGCCCACCTCAAAGGTGTCTACCAAGTTGGCTACCCACTGGCGGACCTTCTCAAAGTCCTCCTTGCCCACACTGGAAGACGTGTCCAGGAGGAAGACCAGATCATACTGCACACTTTTGCAACCTGCACGGGAGAAAGAGTAAAGGGAGAATGAATGTTGGGAAACTTACAGATTTAGTTCCCTCCTTTAGACTTGACTCAGGAGCGCCTGCCTCCTCTACCTCTTACTGACATCCCACAGCAAGTGAGGTTAGAGAGTCATAGTGAGGACCAACTGAGGAGATGTGAGAGTATTTAAGTGGTCTGCATCCATAGGATGCTACTAAGTGCTAAGCTCTTTGCTTTAACTTCGGTTAAAAAGTGATAGCATTTTGTGTGTGTGTGTGTGTGTGTGTGTGTGTGTGTGTGTGTGTGTGTGTTAGCACAGACATGTCTGTATATACTGAGTATGTATGCAGAGGCCAAAGAAGGACTTTGGATGTCTCCCTCTATAGTACTCTTGAAGTGTTCTGAGACAGGATCGATCTCTCTCTCTCTCTCACTGAACCTGTTTTCTGGGGTTTGGCTTGACTGCCGACCGACTGAGCTCCCATAGTCTTTCTGCCTCCCCCCACCTCTGCACATGCTCTATTATGCATCCAGCTTTTATGTGGGTGTTAGTGATGTGCCGGGCCTGGTGGTCTATGGTCTACTTTCCCATACCTAACTGAATGGGAGAAACAAGTTTCCAGGCTTGTTGTGTGGATTTCCATGACGTCATAGAGTCCACAGCCCTGAGTATCTTACCATGAGAAACCATATCAAATGTATATGTTTATGTAATTAAATATGCCTATACAGAGTTCTGAAATGCTTCATATGCTTCTATTTTCTAAAAATAGATTCTACACAAACTACGTGATGTTTTTAATTAAACAAAATAAAACATTAATGTAATTTTCCTCCTTAAAGAACCCCTTAGTATAGGGTCTACCCATCCATTCTGTAGTTAGATTGTTTGAGAAAAAGTGTTTTCTAAGCTTCACAGCACTGCACAAACACAGGCGAGCTACTGAGAAGCCTGTCTGGAATCCTCCAAAATGAGAGACTTGGAAAATCAGCAAGAGCCATACCTGGGTACACACAAGTGTGAGGGTCATAAAGAACATATTCTGTGAAATATCAAGTTGACTAGAGTCAAAGACTGATGCTGCCCACGACAGCATGAGAGAACGGACTTGTCTGCCAAATGGAGACTTAGAGATCCGTGGCACCATTTCAAGGGCCTCTCCAAGGAATTACCAGTCAATCAGCTGGAGATGTGGTGACTTAAGCCCAGAAAACTCATTAAGTCAGGGAGAGATATATGAGAATTATCCAAGAAGCATGACTAATGAAGCCATATGAAGAGGCTAGAGCATCGCTCAGAGGAAATGACTGATATAAAAATCACTGGTGCTGGGTTCCTAAGGTGCATGCACCACAGGAGCCAGAAGAGTGGGCTAGAAGGGAAGCCACCCACCAGCAGCAGGGAGGGGTTGGGTGTGTAGGCTGCACTTCCCAACAGAAGCCAACATTCTGTGGGTACTGTACTTAAAGGGAGAGTCTTTCCTGCCTCTCCACCTCCTCTGTGTATACATCCAAATTTTGCAGGTATGTCTAAGGAAACCCGAGGCATGCAAAGCTATGAAAGAAATATTAATTTTAGTATTATATATGTTTGGCTCTTATGTTTGTAAATTAGTAAAAAGCAAAACCCAGATTTACACACTCACTCACCCTCTCTCTACAAAAACCCTCTACATAGGGCTGGAAAGATGGCTAAGTGGTTAAGAGGCACTGGCTGTCCTTCCAGAGGACCTGAGTTCAATTCCCAGCACCCACATGATATCTCACAATGGTTTCTAACTCCAGTTCCAGAGGACTTGGTACCCTTGCACAGACATGCAGGCAGAACACCATTGCACATAAAAATAAACCTTAAAAAAGAAACTTCTTAATACCCCCTCTTATAAATTCTTCACACTATCATATTCTCTTACACACATTATTTCTTAAGCAGAGATCCAGTCTTTCAGTCTAGCACACTCTCACATTTGCTCACACATTACTTTGCTCTCTCAGGCCTCATTTGAACAGATGGTACTTGCACACACATCAACTGAAGGCCAGCTCCTACACTTGCTGCATTTCGGACACTCTGGTATACTCAGTCAGTCACAAGCTAATTCACAGGATCACACCCTCACTTGCACACACACATGAATGTTGAGCAACCCATCTCCAATTTCATGTCCCACCTGCACGCTGGGCCTGACAGCCACCATCCCCTCCCCAAAGTAGTAGAATCCACAGAAGGTAAGCCAAAGGATTCCCTCTGGGGATAGTCACGGCTCTCCTGCTCTTGGAGACAGGCATATCTTGATCAGGAAGAGATACTTCAGGAGTCTAGTGGAGCATTTCCTGTGTAGAAAAAGACACACCCTGAGAAGCACTGCAGCGCTGAAGGGTCAGAAGAAGAGAGGAATCCCACATGCAGGTGCTAGCATTGGCTCCATCCCTTAGCTTCACCCTCCCCAGAGCCAACAGTGTAAACCTCTGAAAAGTGATGCCATGGAATCTGGTCAGTTCCTTTCCTGGGTCATTGATGAGGTCTGGATGCTGAGTGATCCGAAGCTGTGCCCTTCCCAGATCTCTTCATTAGTACCATCCCAGTTCCCTAATTAGCATGACCCACAGACCTATTATGACCAGCTGCCCTGATCTCACCAGCCCAGTAGGCTCAAGATGGTGGCTGTCAAGGAGTTTCCCACAGATACCATGTCTGCAGCAGACCTTCTCCTATGGAGAATGTTTCCCTCTGCTAAAATGCCATACTTACCAAAAGCCATGGAGGAACTCAGCCCACTCTTCCCCCAGACATGACCCTCCATATGGCTGGGAGCCACCATCAGCAGTGTCCAGTGAACAATGACCTTTTTTCTTTTTTGCAATAGGCTGTCATTTTATCTACTTGCCTCCCTGGCCCACCTACCACTATATCATGCTTGGGGTTGGTTGACAAACTGGGGCAAGAATTTCCATCCTGTATGCATGCGCAGCCAGTACCTATGATTAAAGTAGCATATAAGAATCTTCCAAGCGACCCATCCCCCAAATTTAAATGGAAGGGAATTTTTCTTAATGTTTCAAGTAATAGAGGAATATATTTCCAGAGTTTGGTGTATTATTTGTTTTTAAGATACTGGTGTGATTCAGGTTTGTGAACAAATTGTGAACATCACAATTTTCTCAGTGTGACAAACAGATCTGTTGGCTGCTGCCTCCCAATGAGCACCCCCCATCTCTCTCTCTCTCTCTCTCTCTCTCTCTCTCTCTCTCTCTCTCTCTCTCTGTCTCTCTCTGTCTCTCTCTGTCTCTCTCTCTCTCTCTCTCTCACACACACACACACACACACACACACAAAGGCACATACATGTGCTATAAACCTAAACCTCGGGTCCACAGGCAAACAGACATGCCCGCCCGTCCCAGCCACACAAAGTGTACTGGCTGGTTTTGTGTGTCAACTTGACACAAGTCAGAGTCATCAGAGAGAAAGGAACCTCAGTTGAGGGAATGCCTCCATGAGATCCAGCTATAAGGCATTTTTCTCAATTAGTAATCAATGGGTGGGCCCAGTTCATTGTGGGTGGTGCCATTCCTTGGCTGGTGGTCCTGTGTTCTATAAAAAAGCAAAATGAACAAATGTAAAACAAGGCAGTAAGCAGTACCCCTCCATGGTTTCTGCATTAGTCCCTGCCTCTGGGATCCTGACCTGTTTGGGTTTCTGTTCTGACTTCCTTCAATTATGTACAGCAATATGGAAGCATGAGCTAAATAAACCCTTTCTCTCCAACTTGCTTTTTGGTCATGGTGCTTTGTCACTGCAATAGAAACTCTAACAAAGACACAAAGTTACTAGCAGTTTCCAGGACAACCCCTGTGATCCTGTTGCTCTGAAATTTGCACCACCCACCCTAGAATTCTATCTCCAGGTTGGCTTAAGGGATGGGGGGAAGTCTTTATGATTTCAGTAAGTCACATCTTACAGGTAGGCATGGTCACCTAATCCATGAAGGACCTTGCTACCATCAGCTATCCTCCTAGCAATGGTGGAGCCAAAATCACCCACAGTGAAAACAGCAGAAAAGTATTCTGAGATTCATACCTATGAATACTGAGTCCAGGATTTTAGTCAGCCTTTTGGTAGGGATGGGGACAAGTCAGGGACATGCCTGAACCTCAAGCCAAAAATTCCTCCTAGACCCTATATTCACCAAACTACAACATACGACAAGATTTTAACATATCAGTTTTCAGATGCACATCACCAAAGCGATGTGGTCTAGAAGCTGTATGCCAATTCATCACCACAATTTATTCAAGGGAGATAGATCATCCCAATTCTGCTCACAAATCACAACTCTTCCTACATCTTCTCTAACCCTCTATAGAGCTAAAAGCTTACACCTGGAGAGCCCCTCCTCAACCCCTGCACCTCCCTGTCAAATTAGTGGTAAGTTGAAGCTGGCTATATCCCCACATGAGTTTTAAGCATGGTTGATTCCATGGGGTCTGACATTGAGCCATGCTGCCACCGTCTACCCATTGATGTTAAAGGGCCTCTTTACATGTGAGGAAAAGTTCTTAGTAGCCCCGGTACCAGTGTAAAACCCAGCAAAAAGTAATACTCAGTTAATGCTGATAGGTGAAAGAAGAAAGCAAAGCAAGGAGGGAAAGAGGTAGGAAGAGAGGGAAGGAGGGAACAAAGGAGGAATGAAGAGGGAGTTAATAATTCAGCTGCCACAGGGGAAAGCTGAGCACAGAGGCTGGGGTTGTCCAGGAGACAGGATCAGCCAGGCCATTCTGTATGGACACAGCAGCACCCAAAGCTTATCTTTAGTTCCTTTACAGTAAAGATATTCCCAGTGTCCGACACTGACAGTAAGGAGGGTTACTTGCCAGTTCCTGTGAGTGTGCTCTTTTCCACTGCTCCACAGTGGAAATTTATGTAATCCACAGGACCAGGCTCTGTGCTGGTACCACGACCTCCCTCCACTGTCTAGGTAAAGAGCTACAGCATGGAGAGACGACAGCCTTATGATTACCTGTGGGGATGCTTAGATCTGGACCCTGAAGTCAAGCCTACTTGGCCAGGCCAAGGCCACCAACATTCTCCCTTCCATGCCAGGGATGTATCTTAAGAAGTCTCATCAACTCCAAATTTCTCAAATGGTCTTAAATCTTTGTAATGCCTACTCTGGGTCATAAATTTGTCTAAAAAACTACTGAGCAAACTTCAGTACCTAATCCTTATGAATGTACAATGTTTTTCCCACAGTGTGGTCATAGCAAATGCCCGGAGAGCCCTATGCATTTTATAAAGACCCTAACACAAGTTCCCAAATTACTTTCCAGAAGAGTTTCCTCTGCCCTTCGCAGCATGTGGCCCCCTATTCAAACATAATCAGAAGCAGCGCTGAGGAATCTTCCCCTTCAGTCTTTTCCAGCTCAAATTCAATAGATAGGTGGTTTCTTGTTTTCTATGTATATCTTTGGTCCATGAGGTTTGCTATTCAAAGGTTTTGCCCATTCTTCATATTCAAATGTCCTTTTCTCCTTCTGTTCGGATTGTGTGTGTACATATATATGCTGTGGCATATGTGAGTATTAAATTGTGTTTGGGGATGTACTCACCCATGCATGTACCTAGGGAGGCCAGAGGTCTGTGCTGTATGTATGTATGTATGTATGTATGTATGTATGTATGTATGTATGTATAGGCAGAGTCTCTCACTGACTGGGCGTTTCCTAGTTTCAGCTAGACTAGTTCTCAAGTTCCTACTACCTCTGTCCTCACCCCAGGATAGTGAGAATTTTGGTTTCTTTAAAGCCCCAGGTATGTTATGTGAAAACGTTTTTGTTTTAATCTTGGTGTGGGATATGGGGCTGCTTCAGATTGTCCACAGGAGCTGACTATTTGCCTCACTCCGGCTCTGGGAGGGGCATGATCTTTTCCAGCTGCAGACAGTTTAATTCAGAGAACTCTTTAGAGAGTATACATGGGAGAGCCCCTAAGAGATTCAGCAGTGGCTGCTCCTCCTGTTGACGCCCCTACTGCTGCTAGCTCATTTATTATTACTAGTTTACTGGACTTCTGGATATCCTGATGATGACGATTTGCCCCAGGGAACTATGGGAAGTAGCATATAGAGGTCCACACCCCCTTTCTCCTCTAACTTTCTGTCTCTCCTACTTGGTGTTGGGGTGTTAGAAGGGATTGGGTTGGTGAATGATGGTAGATATAAAAGAACACAAATAAACTATCTAAACAAATTACATGTACACCCCAGTGCTGCAGTTTCAGACACATGCCACTGTATACAGCTTTTCTGTGGGTTCTGAAATCTGAACTTAGATTCTCATGCTTGCACAGAAAGTACGTTATCCACTGATCCATGTCCCCAGCCTGTAAATGTCTATTTAAAAACCTGTTTGTAAAGTCACCATCTGTATAAAGAAGGGGGCTTATAGATTTTTTTAGCATTGGTATGTTCATTCTATAAATATTCCTTACTCCTGTCACATGCCTAGGACAGGTATGTAAAGCACACAGAGTTACCCTGGGAAAGTCCTCATTGACTTCTGAGATCTAATAAGATGCCAGGACAGGACAGAGCAGGACAGTGAGCATGGGAAGAAGAAAGCTCAGGGAGTAATGGGAGCACAGGCAGGTGGATAGTGTATGTGGCTATCACGGGGATATTTGGGGAAAGGTCAGACTTCTAGAGCTTTTGCCAAGTTGAGTTTGGAAAGCTGAGCAGGAAGACAAACAAATATATACAAGGCAGGTAACACTAAACAAGAACATCATTGTCTGGCCTCAGAAGGTGGCAGGGTACTTAACATTCCTGTGGAGGAAGGTTCCTCTTAGGACCAGTGAATTAACTCTATAATTGGGGCTCTACCACCTTCAGGGCAATGTGGTATGCTTTGTCTCAAAGCACAGAAGGCAACCTCACAAGTGCCTGAGCTATGCAGGGTCTGAATAATGGCACATGGACAACATCAAGAGGCAGATGCAGGATCAAAAGGAAAGGTGCTATACCTAACAGAACAAGCAGGGCACTCATGGTTCTGTGCTTAGGGAATCAGAGGGGTCAAGGAGGAAAGGAGCATGAAAATAAATATGTCTGAAAGTTCCCTAGCTCTTCCATCCTTCAATGACTTATGACCTGTCTGCCGTGTCTATATTGTTGCCCAGGACCCAGGACAGTTCCAAGCAATGCTGTGCACCTCCATAAATACTAACTTTATGGATGGATGATCAAAGGCCAGTATCAACGTCAATCCATATTTTACTATCTTGTAGTTTGTAGTGGCCAGGAGTCATTTGTCAGATGAATAGCGATGTCATCAGA